ATAGTTGTGTGACACTGGGGCCATCAAATTAAGTGTCATGAAATAGATGGCAAAAGACTTTTAAAGACAACATTTTAGGGCTGGCCTGGTGGCGCACTGGAGAGTACGGCACTTGGGAGTGCGGCGGCGCTCCCGCCGAGGTTTCGGATCCCATGTGGTGACCGGTTCCCGCTCACTGGCTGAGCGCGGCGCAGGCGCAACACCAAAGGGTTGTGATCCCGTTGCCGGTCCCCGTAAAAAAGACAAAAAGGAAAAAACAAATAAATAAATAAATAAAGACAACATTTTAACAAAGACATAAAGCTGAAAAGAGCAGAACATTAAGCAGCGAGTGGTTCAGTCTATTGGAAATAATAGAGTTGTGATTAGGAAAAAAAGCAAAAAAAAAAAAATTTATGATCCTGATCTCAGATGGTCTCCAGTGACTGGATAAAAGTGTATACTTTATGTGTCAAGAAATGAGACACTCTTAAATTTTTTGAGAAGCAGAGAAACATGATCAGAGGGAACTTGAGGAACTAGTTATCTTGGTTAAACCATTTCACTATGTCATGACTCAAGTTTTGCATCTATATCACATAAAGGAAACAATATTTGTGCTCTTTCTTCCCATACATGGTTCAAAAGAAAATCTGCTATATCATCTTCCAGCCAGTCACAAAGACTAAGACAAACCCTTTCACTAAAAAAATTCATATGATGAATTTAAAGAGAGAAAGGGGAAACAAAGACAGTCAATATATTTTATTTTATTATTTGGCAGTTTTAACTCCTGAAAATATACTTTCACTTAAAAATATGAAGGAAAAGATTTTTGGGTGGTATCAGTTTTAAATCTTTGATACTTTCACTGGAGGGATTTCTACAAAAAAAGTTTAACCAGTGTCATTGGCTGTGTTAACATATTTTTAAAAAGAAAGAGAAAAGAAAAAAAAAATCACAAAACAAGCAGCATACAGTCAAGCAATTCCATTTAAATTGCACTTTGTAGCATGAATCCTTTCCTTTTTTTCTTCATTGGGAATAGGTTGTCAGGGCCTAATGATTTATTTAAATGGAGGGATTTTTACAGGCCTACAATTTAAGGTTCCTTTATTAACTTTTACATTTTGTGGATAAACAAGAGACAGCTCATCAAGTTTCCCAGGGAACACAAAAACTCCCCTGTTAATCACATGTTCAGTTTAAAACCTCAGCACTCTACAGGCATTCTTTGTGTACAATAAATTAGTTTCTCACCCATATCAATTGCTGGCTTTATTAAAACATTTTAGGGAGAACATACGTGAAAGAATAGTTTGGTGCATCTATACCAGTTCTCAGGGTGTCACTTTCCTTACAAAAAATGCCACCCCAGCCAGCCTAGCAGGAGCCTCCACCCTCTCCTTCCTGGCAACTGCCCCCATTTGTGCAGTTCCCCACAGCTCAAACTGCAGTCATGTCCCAAGGTGCGATCTAAACAGGAATGCTATCCCATCTTAGTTGGCTTATAACTGTGCACGTAACTGAAAATGGAAACAAAAACACTAATTTTCCAAAGAAAACCATGATCGCTGAGCATATTTCCTAGAGTCCCAGAAAAGGATAACAGCAAAGACAATCTATCTTATAAAATAGAGCTTATTTTATTTTTTTCAATTATAAAAATAAT